GCAAAAGAGGGATATATACTTTGTTCGTGTTTTGTCTCGTTCTTTCTAGCTCATTCCTTTGACAAGGTGATTTTCATGCTTAAGTCTCGGGGTACGCAATTCTTTATTATTCCATGACAAGTTAATTTGTTAGTTTTGAAAGTACTCCAATCAACTCGTGCCTACTCCTCCTCTTATCGTTCAAGAGCGAACGAGGGGTAAATCAGTATCTATTATAATGACCCAAACCGTATTTCGTGGAACTAAGTTGTCCAGGCTTGTACCTTCCCTCCATAGTGGGAATAATCTTGCCACAACGGTTCCGCCATAGTGGGATGAGAGCCGCCATGGTGGGATAGTCAGAACAAAATTGAAAGACGCGAATTCTTATTTTTCCCCTTCCTCCCTTAAGTGCCAAAATATATGAGGGTCGCCCTAAAACCCTTAAAAGGCTGCTCTAGGCTTGGGGAGGAGGGAGAGGAGGAATTATAACATAAGAAAGGCTACAATCCATAGATTACAAGCTTGCCTCCATTGTTTCGTTGTTCGGAAGTTAGGAGTCGTGATATAATCCTCATACAACTACTTGGTACCCATATAGGCTAAGTTTTCTTTATTAGTAGTTGATAAATCATTCACACCGCCTAATGTATTATAAGCCGACTGGAGATTTCATTGTTAGACCTTCAGGCATGAAGTTGGGAGGATAGTAAGTGTGGTGCCTGTGGTTGAACTAGTGTGTATTGTGTGGGTGGACTTATCATATGAATTTAGGGGTAGGTGATGGTTTGATTTCCCGCCGGTGTTATATATGTTTGTTAACTGCTTTGTTGTATTCATGCATATATATGAATAGGGAAAAATGAAATGAATTTAATGAAATGACTATTTATGATCCATTGCATGCAAGGAACATGTTACCTAATTATACGATATAAGTGTATAAATCATTGATTATGGTGCTGATTGTGTTTTTGATTGTGGTTGATTGGATAAGGTGTCACGTTCCGACACATAATTGGATCTGGTGTCACATTCCAACACATTATTATATCGAATGTCACGTTTCAATATATTATTTGATCAGGTGTTACATTCCGACACATTATTGGATCGGATGTCACGTTTCGACACACTAATTGCTTGGGTGTAGGTTCCATGAGAAGACCATTGTTGACGAATTATCTGTGAATGAATATGACTTCTTGTGCCATAATTGAGAAATTGACAGAACTGTGATTGATCATGCCTATCCTATGTAATAATGGATATGAAAGAACCCGAAGTCCGAATATTACTGTTTTTCGTATTGTGATGATGTTATTTGTGTTGCTATATTGTGGCTATTAAATGTGTTTATGTATCTCAGGTATGAGAATGTGTGAGCGTAAGAGGCATAGTAGTGGGAATGGTGATGAATGACTAGGATCTACCTTGGGAAGGGGGTTTGTTCTTGAATGGCTAGTCAGCCTTGAGATGGTATATTATGTTGTCAAGGGCAGAATTGTTGTGGTGGAGAATCATGTGCATGTAGTAAGTTGGTTGGCTGGATTGGGGGCGAGGTGTGTTTCAAAAACTTCTTTATGTGTGCCAGAAAGGTTCGACCTTAATCTAAATCAGAATTGGTAGCGATGCAAATAGAAGGCCAACATTGTGTTGTTCCCTAGTTGTGGTTAAGACAAATAAGGTGTTCAGAGTGTGGGTGCAAAGGTTAGCTGGGGTATTTTCCTTATAGCGTGTTTCTTCTGGTTGATTTCTTTTTATTAGGAAGTGGGTATCGGGTTGACCAATGATGCCTACTAGTACGTGTTGCTTGTACTGATACTACTCTTGCTATGCCACTTGACATAGTCTAGTTGCAGGGTCAGTGATGTTTCATAAGAGAAGACGAAGACGATCTCCAACGGCATCCACTTTTCTTCGTTATGGTGGGAGCTGTGTCATGATATTATTCTGTTTACATGACATATCTTTAGTAGCTCTTGTACCTGTTTAGACTAGATCCCCGGGGTATTAATTATTCTAGAAATTCAATCTTGGTTTTGTTTTAACTCAGTATCTTGTAAACTTCATGAACTTTCCGATTTATCTCTTAATTTTTCCGCATGATGAAATTGTTTAGGGACTAAGGGTTCTCCTATCTAGGTGTTAGAGTAGGTGCCCGCAAGCCCGATGGATTGGATTGTGACAACAACTTTACATGCTTTTATTCATACTTGCATCTCAAATTAAAAATACATGTTGCACCGTAACTCTTCCGGATAGTAGATTAGATCTTCAACTATTTGCCCCTTCCAAATTAAAATACATCTTGCTAAATTTGTCTTAATATTCTATCTCAAATATACTTTTTAAAAAATAAAATAAAATCAAATCAAATATACTTATTCCACATTTAAAATACAAATTCCCTTTTTGAAAACCCTTTCTTCTAGTCTTGAAATAAGCATGAGCTGACATGTTCCATTATTAAGATTTCAAATTCTACAATTTAAGGAGCTTTACTTGTGGTATGTAAATGTTCTTCGGATAATTTGGTGATCTAAAAGATTGTTTATATTGACAATATATAAGAAATAAACTTTTTACAAAACACACTAATTGCTTATTATCAATTTAAGCACTTCTAGCCAAACATGTAACGAAAAATTTAAAAATTCAAATTCCAAAAACTTGAATCAAGTCATTAACTTCATTACCCAAAATTGATTTTCAACACTTGACGCTTATTATATATAGTCACGGCTAAAACAAAATATCTAAAAGAAACCAAAAACCAACCTCAAATTGGAGGTCGAAAAATAACCCGACCTTCGAAGTTCAATTGTATTTGTTACAATTTTCTTTTGTGAAAATACTAACTTCGGGAGGTTGATTTTTTTATTTTTTTTTTAAAATATTGATTTCATGAGGTTGATATTTTTAATCATAAAATAATAATATGCTCCAATATTTGGGTTCAAACTCCCATTTTCATTGTAATTGAATACGTTTCTATTAGTAAAAATAATTGATGCTGGTTTAAGACTATCTTTTATTAATACTCTTTAATTTTATATATTGTGATTTTTTTATTTTTTTTTGTAAAATCCGGCTTCCGAAGGTTTCTTTTTATTTATTTTTTTTGCAAATAAAAAAAAGAAGAAGAAAAACTAACCTCTCAAGGTTGGATTTTGCATTTTTTTTTTAAAAAAAAAAAACCGACTTTAGAAGGTTGGTTTTTATAATCTTTTTTAAAGTAGATTGACATTTTTTTCGATTTGGACCCAAAAAAAACCTAATCTTCGGAGATTATTTTTTGACAATTTTTGTAACAGTAAGCTACTTTTAATCAGCTAATGCAAACAAAATCTACGGTATAACCCAATGACCATTTTTGGTTAGATTTAAAAACTAAAATATGTAGATAAACTTTGTTTAAACATGTTATTGTCTTTTCTCCAGAACAATTTCTGCAGATTCTAATCCAACTAGGTAATGCAAATTTGATTTAATAGTCACATGTACATCAAAATTCATGAGCTGCAAAGTGAAACAAAAAACTGCAAATGGGACCCCACAATACCTGCCAGTATTACTCACTCTAGGGGCGGATCTACCCACAATGGTTAAAATCTAGGAAAATCTATTTGTTGCTCAAGTTATATCATATATTAAATTTAAATCACATTAGAATTTTGAACGAGTATTTGATCATAAATTTTTAATGTGTTAGATCATAATCTTAAAATATATTTCACTTCTATTTTGAAATATATGAACATGACTTATAAACATAAATTTTAAAAACTATCAAGAATATCGATCTAATCATACCAAAACAAACATATTTTCTTATTCCATACTATGTTGAATCTTCATCAATGTCGTTCATTATTATTATTATCACAAATCATATATAATTCTATATATAGATAAGTTTGACACAAATTATCATTTGAATAACAAATTCTAATAACCAATTATTAGTAACTACAAATTGTTGCGTCCTGTATTCAACATAGTACTAAACCAGAAAACTATTAAGATGAAAAGAAAAAAATATATTTGAGGCCATAGAATTTACTGTGTGTCTTTAAGAAATTTAATTCCTTCACTTTATTTGTGTTTATGGATTATTTCCTCTCATGATGAAATGGATGATCTATTAAAAAGTAGTGGTACCTCAAACTTCAATAATTGTAGTGAACTCAAAAGGCAGCAATGAAATTACACAAACACTCTACTTTATTTGTAAGAAAATGTATGCAGAAAGAAGAAAATGTATGCAGAAGGAAGATGAATCGATTTTGAAAAACGAGAGAAAATTCCTCAATTTATAGCCAACAAAGGGTAGTATGAAAATGTGTTAATTGTGTCTTATCGGAGAGGTCACAACCCTTTCAAAAAAGAGACAACATTTTACAAAGGTCACAACCCTTTGGGAAATACACAATCTTTTAGAAAGTTCACAATCCTTTAGAAAAGACACAATCTTTCAAAAAGGTCAAAATCCTTCGAAAAAGTCACTCCCTTTCAAAAGAACCACAACCCTTCATTTTCCATTCAAACCTTTAAAAACCAACACAAATTAGTTACAAATATCCATCAAGGCAAAAGAAAACAATAATAATACTAATATACTTATACTAACAATAATAAAAGTTTGAGGGATATATATATATATATATATATATATATATATATATATATATATATATATATATTTATTTATTTATTTATTTTATTTTATTTTTGATAAAATACAAAAGTTTGGAGTAGATTTTAAAATAAACAAACAATTATATTTTGAGCAAAATAAAAGAACTGAAAAAGATGTTAAAATTTAATATTTTGATTTCCAAAATCTCTCAAATAGTAAGATAAATTCTATGACCATACATCTATTTTTTTACCAAAAAATACTTTAATACCTCTCCATTCAATCAAACTTACTCAAGTAGGGAGAGAAGCAAAAAAGGTGACCAAATACTTCCAAATGAAAACCAATGGATGAGACAAATTAACATGGGGCTAAGAATGTCAATAAATATCCCCTACATCTATAGGGAATTTCTCAAAATTGCTTGCATTTCTTAACTAAGAGTAGGTAGCTAGTCATGATGAGTGAAAATATGAAGGTGGCCAAGCAAGAGCTAGTTGTTCAAGAAAATGGCAAGAAAGAAGAAGATGAGACAATTGAAACTGAAAAAAGGAAGCTTGGAGGAATGAAAACAATGCCCTTTATACTTGGTAAGTTAAACTCTCACTTTCATCTTCTTCAAAATGAAAATCACTTTCATAATATAATATAATGGAGGGAAAGGTGAAACTTCTAATTAGATAATTAACTAGCTATATACTTAATTAATTTGTTGCACATGTGATTCTGCTTCTTGACTTCTTTGATTAGTAAAGTTTTAGACTAAGAGTGTGTTTGGTAATTTTTTTTAAAATGTTTTATTAAAAAAGAAAGTGAATTTTCTGATTTATTTTATGCTGTTTTGGTAAGTTGATGAAAAATATCATTTCAAAATTATTTATAACATCCGATCTCTCAAGTAAATGAAGTCCCTTTTTTTACCTTTGATTTCTTCTCCTTTAGTGACTTAAGTTGTTGTTGACCCTTGAGAGATAAAAAGAAAGAAGGTTTAAATTAATTAATTAATTTTTTGAGTGGTATATTTTTTTTAAAAAATACTTAATTATATTGATAAAAGATAATTTATCAATATTATTCATTTGTTATTTTTAGAGATAATTGATAAACTTATTAAAGAGAAGAATAGTTTTTTTTCTAAAAAAAATTAATTAATACATCCTTAAATTTTAAAAAATTCATTCATTTTAATTGAAAAAAATAATTAAAAATTCATTTATTTTGAATGGAAAATATATGAAAACTAAGGTAGTTTGTCTTTTTTTTCTGTTTGTTTTTCCCTTCTTATCCATTGGGATTTGATCCAAGAATAAGATAAGTTTACTTATTTTAAAACGGAAAATGTTCTTTAAAATTGATATCTCTCTTCACACATGTGATATGTCTTTACGATAAAATAAATAAATATGTGCGCTAAATTATTAGCAAAAGGACATATTTGTAGTAATAATTATTGAAATGTATGAAGAATTAACAATGCTTATTAATTATTATTATTATTATTGTTGTTGAACAGCAAATGAAGTATGTGACAGATTTGTGGGTGCTGGATTTCATAGCAACTTGATAACATACCTAACACAAGTGCTAAATGTGCCTTTAATAAAAGCATCTAATACACTAGCCAACTTTAGTGGTGTTTCAAATTTCACTCCACTTATTGGTGCTCTTGTTGCTGATTCATTTGCTGGTCGATTTTGGACTATTATTGTTGCTTCCATTATTTATGAAATGGTATGTCTCTATTCCCTATCTCAAACTAATCAATCCATTACATAATCAACTTTTTAAATATAGATTATAGTATTATTCATTAAAAATATGCATATCCATAGATATTCACATTATAATTAGTACTCCCCCATCCCAATTTATGTGAGTTACTTTCCTTTTCATTCAGTCACAAAAAGAATGACACACTTCTATATTAAGTAACAATTTAACTTTAAAATGTCTATTTTACACTCAATGAAATGATTTATAGCCATACAAATTTCTATCATTCATTTTAGACTATAAGTTTTAAAAATATTCCTTTCTTTCATAAACTGTGTGCCGAGTAAAACTACCTCACATGAAATGTGACAGAGGAAGTAATATTTTTCATGAGTTTTTATTTTTTGGAAAATTTAAAATCATTATGGCTTATAACTTCATCTGACTATTCCTAAAGTCATACCTAATATGGATGTTCATATTTTTTTTGTCGATTAACCTATATTTTTTAATACATTGAGTCAGATATTTTATTCATTTTTGGCCAATCCATATATGATTCGACCCACTCGTTTCCACTCCTAGATACATGGCTTTTTCTTAAAGAGCCTATTTTGTAGGTTATAGATTTTAAAAAAATAATTTAAATCCAAGTACTATTTGCAGAAAAAACAATCTTTTCATATAAAAATTAAGAATTATTGGAATAGATTTGACACATTTGGAGTATTATATAGAAGTTGTTACCAAGTTTTAGATTTAAAGCTTTCTTTTGATTTGTTTTGGCTCTAGGACACTAATATGCTTGAGCCGCCCCGGCTTTGTCATTTTCCATTCAAATATGTTAACAGCCTGAGCAACAACGAACTATGAATTAGGATAATCCATAGCTAAATAAGATTAACAAACAATTTTGCTGTTTATCTACAGAATTTGTCCATACAGAGTCCCCTGATTTTTATAGTAGCAATGGAAATCTTACTCTGAGATGTTTATATACAGGGACTGATCAGCATAACTATCTCAGCAATCATGCCACAACTCCGTCCTCCACCATGTCCAACTCAGGAGAATTGCAAAGAAGCTTCGAATTCGCAGCTTTGGGCACTCTACATTTGCCTACTTTTGACATCTATTGGTACAGGAGGCCTTAGACCTTGTGTAGTTACCTTTGCTGCTGATCAATTGGACATGAGGAAATCTAAAGTAGAATCGCGAAAGTGGAACTTTTATAATTTGTTCTATTTCTGTGTCACAATGGCTACGTTAACTGCATTAACTGTTGTCGTTTATATACAAGATAACGTAAATTGGGGATGGGGTCTTGGACTTCTAACAATTGCTATGGCATTGTCTGTTGTCGTGTTTGTTGTTGGATCTCCATTTTACAGAAAAGTAGAACCAGGAGGAAGTCCATTAATCAGATTGACACAGGTTATTGTTGCCTCAGTGAGGAAGAGAAAAGTCGTTGTTCCAGACGATGATCGTCTCTTATACGAGAACAGAGAGCTTGATTCTGCTATCTCACATGATGGAAGGCTTTTGCATACTAATCAGTTCAAGTAAGGTGATTTTAAGTAACGTTTGATGAACACGAATATGTAGTATATGTAGAATAGCTAAAAGATAAAATTAACTTGCAAAAAAAAAAATGAATCTGTAGAGATGCTAATTTGTAAATTATGCTCTTTTAGTTAATTTGGTTTAGAACTTATATTGTTAAGTTGATTTCTCAGATGGTTATTCGACTAATAGTTATTATTTCAGAAAGTCACTTCCTTTGCTGAAGAAAAAGTTGGAATCAAGAAAAAAGATGACTTTCTGATATAATAACTATTAGTTGACTGACCATCTGGGAAATCGACCCTGTTATTGCTTTACTAATTTAACCAATTGGTTAAGGTGGATTGATCGAGCTGCTGTAGTAACCGGCGATGACATGAAAGAGTCGTGCCAGCCAAATTTATGGAGGCTAGCTACCGTTCATAGAATGGAAGAGCTGAAATGCATCTTAAGGATGCTGCCAATTTGGGCTGCAGGGATATTACATTTTGCTTCACATTCACATGTAGGCAGCTTTACAATCCAACAAGCGCGAAGTATGGATCGTCATTTGTCCCACAGCTTCCAAATACCTCCAGCCAGCATGTCTATTTTTAGCGTCCTAACGGTGCTTATTGGCCTTGTGCTTTATGAGCGCTTCTTTGTTCCTTTTGCTCGTCGATTCACAGGACACAAATCAGGCGTTACATGCTTACAGAGAATGGGAATAGGATTCGCCATTAATATTCTTGCTACTGCAACTTCAGCACTAGCTGAGATTAAGCGTAAAAAAGCAGCTGCAGATCATAACTTACTTGATCAGCCAACGACTCATGTCATTCCTATTAGCGTGTTCTGGTTGGTTCCGCAGTATTGCCTTCACGGAGTAGCTGAAGTCTTCATGAGTGTTGGACACCTTGAATTTCTCATTGAACAATTCCCTGAAAGCATGAGAAGCACTGGAGCTGCACTTAACTCGTTAGCTTCGTCGTTTGGAAATTACTTAGGTACATTTATAGTAACTCTAGTTCATCAATATACCGGAAAAGAAACGAATTGGCTACCAGATAGGAATCTCAACAGAGGAAGACTTGAAAACTTTTACTGGCTTATGGCTGGAGTACAAGTAGTAAATTTTGTATACTATCTTATATGTGCATCATTATATATATACAAACCCTTGGAACAGATTACTGAAGGATGCAAGGGAACAGATGTGGAATTAGCTGATGAAACAACTTTGTTAGACAATTCTAAAGGTGATGGACAAACAGATAGAGCAAGAAATGGAATGAACTAATATATTGCTTAGTTAAACTAGTAGACATTTTAGTTTTCAAGTTTTAGTTGTCACAAGTTGATACTATTAAATGTACCAAAAAATAAAGGTTGAAACTATTACTCTCTCTGTCCCAACCAATGCGACACATTAAAGTTTTCGAGATTCGAACAAGTTTATCTTTGACCATAAATTTTTCATATATCTTTTAAATATTTTGAATTATCAATCATTGTGACTTATAGTACTTTTTAAGTAGTTTACAAATATATAAATTTTATTTTAAAAAAATTGAAGATTTCATGAGCAAATTCTTGGTCAAACTTAAACTGTTTGACTCTCGAAAAATGGAATGTGTCACGTAAATTGGAACCGAGGGAGTAAAGGAAATGGCATAATGTTGAAGCAACCATTTTGTATTTGATGCAAGGGCTTGATATTTGTTCTTTTCTTTCTTTTTGAGCTATGAACGTTAAGATGTGGCACATTTTTTTCTTATATAGTTTTTCTAGAATGTTAAGAAATTTATTTTGGTATTCAACTAAGCGGGCTTACTCTTGTTGAGAATACAATTAACTAATAAAAGTGTGCTCTGCTCTCTCTAAGAAGTTAAACTTTTAGATAAGTTGGTCAAACAGTTAAACAACTCTCAAAGGAAATGATGCCTAGATCTTTGAGATGAGATGGTCAAACACTTGAAAAACCCTCAAGGGAAATGATGCCTAGATCTTTGAGATTCGAAACAAAATCCATGACACCAAGAAGGGTGAGTTGACTATCAGTGATTAAAATTCCATCGAAGTGTGTTAATGGAAGATATTGACTACTATCATGATCTTCAAGCAAAGTGTAACGAAATGAAGCAGTTCTCTTTCAACAGCTGGTTGAAAAGGATAGAGTTCATGATTTTTTGGCCTGTTTGAACCAAGAATATGATCAGATCAGGGTTCAAGTTGTCGATAAAATTTCTTTTCCTTTTCTTGAGGATGCATATTCATATGTTCGTCGATGAGGATCATGCTATATTATGCACCAATTGAGAAGTCTGAATGAAAGAAAACTATGCACCAACAGTAATTTCAAGGAAACTGGTTCCTAGAGTCGTAGTAGAACAGAAAGTAAAAGTTACAAGGTAGACCAACTAGAGGGCAATCAATCAGCTAACATTGTAGAATATGTGGAGACATCCAGAGAAACTACTTCCGGAGAAACTTTGCCTACAGATGAAAATCTACATCTTCGTCGTCTCCTGAACAAACTTGATTTCTCTGATGCTGTCAGTTCCAATTATGTGCAGTACTAAGGTATCGTTTTTAACACTCAGCTTAATTCCTGAATTATTGTTTCTGGAACAAATAAACACATGATATGCTTCTCTAAAGGCTTTCAAAACTATTCTCCATGTACTTGAGTTTTCTGTTAACATGTTATCCATTATTTCTATCACCAAAGAACTAAATTATAGTAGCGAGTTCCTTGACGTGCCTTGTAATTATAGCACATCTTATGCCTTTTTCACTCGAAGTTTTGTTCTTATGCTTGTTTTATTGTATTTTTATGTTAGAATGTTGTTTTGTAGGTTTTAAATGTCCAAATCTAAGGCAAGACCACAAAATTTATAGACAATAAAAAGGTGATATGGATAGGTGCACTGAATTTATTGCTTCTAGTTCTTTTGCTCCTTGATGTATCTTAGTTATTTTGATGATCCTCACAAATGTAGGGACCCGGTCCCCAATAGAGTGTTCTCGTCCAGGTACAATATGGTCTATAACTAGAAAGTTGTTTTGTCAGGATGTTGGTGAAGCAGTCAGTGTACTTCACCAATAGAAATGGATGAGGTTGTTTGTCCAGTGGTCAACACATCTTCTTGATTGATATAATCAAGAGACAAACAACTTGATCATTCATTCACAAAAAGAGAGAGAAGTAATCAAGCCTCAAAACACAAAATACAGCAAGGGACCTGATCAACTAAAGAAGTGCTATATGTGTGTGTTGTTGTCTTTTGAATGCTTGTAATGTACTAAACTTGTAGGATTCGTTTCACTCTTATAAGAAACGTTTCAAACCTTTGTGTAAGTCATTGTAAGAACATTGTTATAGTTAACTTTGGGTCTTACTGTTGAAGTCTATATTAATTAGTGATAGTTAATATAATGGGCAATGAATGCATTGCTTTGGCTCAGTAAGTAATAGGTGTATTACTTAGTGTGAGATTAAGAGTTAAGTCTCATTGGTGTAGTTGAAATCTGTATACACTTTTGCTTGGAGATTAGTGGAAACAGTTGAAAATCTTGTGTGACAGGTCGTGGTTTTATTACCTTGAGCAAGGAGGTTTCCACGTAAAATCTTGTGTCCCTACTCTACTTCCAGTTATTTACTTTCTGCACTTTAACTGTCTTAAAGGACATGATCCTGTGATCACTGGTGGGCGCATACATTCCAACAATTGGTATCATAGCATTAGTTTCTCTATCTAGTTAACACCAAGAGAAAAGGGATCCTAAGGAATGGCAGCTCCACCAAGTCTGGAAGAAGGTCAATCCACCACTTATCCTCCTCGATTTAACGGCCAATACTATGGATGGTGGAAAACCAGGATGCACGATTACATTTTGGCAGAGGACAACGAGCTATGGGATGTAATACTCGATGGTCCTTACATTCCTACTAAGGATGTGAAGGAAGGAGATCTCACTAGAGTAATTCCCAAGTCTAGAAGAGAATACGACGAAGCTGACAGGAAGAAAATAGAAAAGAACTACAAAGCTAAGAAGCTGTTGGTTTGTGGGATTGGCGTTGATGAATACAACATGATTTCTTCTTGTGAGACTACAAAGGAAATATGGGACTGCTTAAAAACAACCCATGAAGGAACAACTCAGGTCAAAGAGTCCAAGGTGGACATGCTAACAACTCAATATGAGAATTTTAGCATGAAGGAAGGTGAAACGATCCATAAGATGCAGACCAGGTTTACCTCCATACCAATGAACTAAGGTGTCTTGGTGAGCCCATTAATCCAAGCAAGCATGTACGAAAAAAATTCTCACAGTTCTTCCCAAATCATGGGAAAGCAAAGTGAATTCTATCACTGAAGCTAAAGATCTAAAAGTCCTCATAATGGATGAACTAATCTGAAATCTGCAAACATATGAGCTAAACAAACAATAGGATTCTTCGAAGTGGGAAGGAAGAAAGTAGAAATCTGTAGCCCTGAAGGTATCTCAAAAAGATATCTCTGAAGATGAAGATGAAATGACTTATTTGACTAGAAGGTTTCAAGAAACAGTCAAAAAGCATGGAGGGTTTCAGAAGAAGGAAACTAGCAGCAGAACGGCAAATGCCAAGGACCTTTGTCACAAGTGTGGAAAGCCAGGTCACTTTTTGAGAGATGTCAGAGTCACAAACATGAAGTGCAAGATTTCAAACCACGATGAAGGACCAGGTACCTGAACATGCTAAAAGAAAGGCCAATGTAGATCAAGTGGTGAAGAAGGCCTTCGCAGCATGGGGAAATGCCTCAAGTGACTCTGAAGAGGAATAACATCCTGAAGATGTCTCTATGATGGCAGTCAAGGATGATGAGAATGTTTTCAACTCCATATTCTCATTGATGGACAAATAGATGAGGTAACACTTTTTGATCTCAAGGGTGACATAGACACATTGTCAATTAAAAGATTGAGAAAACTTGTTGCTATGTTAATTGACTCTATTGATGAATTAACAAATGAAAATTTAATTTTAAGTGAAAACCTGAATCTCTATGAAGACAAAAAGTCTGAGAGTGGAAAAGAAAACTCAATAGCTTTGAACTTGAGTTAGAGGAAAGTCTTAAAATTTCTGAGTCCAAACTTATTGTAGCCCTTGAAAGAAACTCACAGCTAATAGTGAATCTTAGTAAAGTTAAGGAAGAGCTAAATCAATCCTGGAAATGGCTGACTCATCAATGATTCTTTCTAAATTGGAAAATCAGAAATTCAACAGTGTTAAGGGTCTAGGGTGCCAAAAGATAAAACTTCCTTATAACCCTAATAGCAAGTACGTGTCTGTGTCTGATAACCTGTTATGTACCCACTGTGGGAGAAATGGCTACTTGAAAAGAAATTGTAAGTCCTTAAAAAGGAATAAAGAAAATCAAGAAATGTTTTGTAAATTTGACAAAAGGAAGGCACCTGATCCTAGATACTGGTTCAGTAAAAATACTTTGCCACCATGGACTGGAAGGTTTCTCATTAAGCCTCCTGATAGTTTTTGGAAACTCCACCTCAAGTGGGTTTTCAAATCTAACAAGTGATTCTTTTGCAGAATAGAGGAAGTAGTCAATGCTGGTTCATGGACAGTGGTTGCTTAAAGCATATGACTGAAGAAACTCAAAACTTCCTCTCTTTGGAAGCACACCAAGGTGGTTGTGTGCCATTTGGAGATGGCAAAAAGGGGTTCATCCTTGGTATTGGGAAGATTGGGAGATCTGTGGAACATTCCATAGATAATGTGTACTATGTGAATGGGCTGAAATACAACCTGCTTAGTGTGTCTCAGATTTGTGACAAAGGAAATGAAGTGATATTTGTGTCAAATCAATGCATTGTTACAGATCTTACTTCCAAAAGGGTCATTCTTATTGCCAGAAGGGTCAAGAATATGTATATTGCTGACCTCGCCTCTATAGAAGGGGATACTCTCACATGTCTGAGTGCTCAATCTGTCAATGCAAATCTTTGGCACAGAAGATTGGGACATGTAAGTTCATCTCTATTGAACTAATTGGTTGTAGGGACCTGGTCCATGGACTATCCAAGCTGAAATTTTATGAGAACAAAATATGTGATGCTTGCGTGAGGGGGAATCAAACAAGATCCTATTTTAAGCAAAAGAAAGGGGTCAGCACAACCAGGCCATCAGAGCTTCTCCACATGGATCTTTGTGGACCAGTGAGAATTCAAAGCAGAGGTGGAAAGAAATACATCTTGGTGATTGTTTATGATTTCTCAAGATTCACCTGGAACATGTTCCGGCGAACAAAGGATGAAACAGTTGAAGTACTAATGATCTTTGCAAAAGGAATTCAGTTGAAACTAAATTGCAAGATTGCAGGAATCAGATCAGT